CTAAAACGAATATTTTTATTTAATTCGTTTTATTATTTTAACAACAAAAAAAACCAACAAAATAATATATATATATATATATATATATATGTATGTATGTGTATGTATCTATAGTATTACACAAAATGACCTTTCGATATTTAATCGTAGAATTAAAGCACGTCTTATAAATATTTTTTAGTAAATGTTACTTAATAAATATTTTTATTTTAACGACGTAAAGAAACCCTTTTTTTCAGGATTAAAAAGAAAAAAAAAGGAAAGAGAGAAAAAAGAAATATTGAAAAAATACATACACATATTTTATTATATAATACACATATGATATAATATATTGAAAGATATTTTCACATATAATATAATATATTGAAATATCATTATATATATATATATAAATATATAATTTAATATAAATATGTAAATATAAAGTTCACATATATATATATAAAATGATCTTTAAATATATTAAATTTAATCATATTAAAACACATTTCATAAATATTTTCTAGAATAATTTGGACTAAACTAATGCCATTTAACGGTGGAATAAAAACAATTTTATATATCTAAAGAGGATAATACTGAAAAAAACAAAAACAGAAATACATCTTTTCATATACACATATATATTTATATAAATACATAGATATCTACATAATAATCTTTCGACATACTCAATTTAACTGAGAAAAATATAAACGCTTCTCGTAAACTGTTTTTTTTTTTTTTTATATTCTTATCGCCAATGTATTATGAATTAATTTACTTAAAATGAAAGAATGAGAATCTTTATTGTAATATTTTTTATCGTTGAGATATGAAAATGATCGATCGAATGTACCTATGCTTATCGTGCGGACTGTACAAGAGTGCACTCGTCAAAGGCTGCACACGTATATGCATACATTGGCTCTAGTTAATACCGAGTTCGTATGTGTGGCTTTATTTGTGATTCAATACACACATACATACGTATTTACACACATGCACACTCACACACAATATATATACATACACGCGCAGGCACGAGCATATATACACACAAACATACACGTACGTATGTACGTATGTAAGTAACGTACACGACTTTGACGCGAGTGAAATAGTACGCACTCGCGTACTATTATGTTGAAGAGGTAGTCAGTGTTCACGAACGTGCTAGGGCTCGCCTTAAAGGGAAATTAAGTGCAAATAGCGAAGATTCGCACATCGAATTCCTCGTTGGAATCTTCTTCGAATAATTACAATAATTCTCGATAATAAGCAAAAATTTTATTATTGGAATGTATTCGTTTTTAATTTTATTAGCTTCTTTCTTTTTCTTTTTCTTTTTCTTTTTCTTTTTCTTTTTCTTTTTCTTTTTCTTTTTCTTTCTCTTTTTCGAGTGAGAAAATATATATTATAATCGGAATAAAATTTCGAATTGCTTTTTTTTTTCTTTTTTTTTTATTAAGTGATTAAATTCAATGTATATCAAATTTTTGATTTTACATGACATTAGAAAAAATAAAAATAAGAAATTGAAAAATAGTAAAGCTATTGATTGATTCCTTGCAATGAATCTTAAAAAATCTTAAATAATCTATGATAAAGCTATTATAGATATCGAAAAATAATATTGAATAATTTGTCTCGATAATTTGGCAGATGATAATTCGGTGCAATATAAATTTATTATTGTTCTTGATTTTAATCGATATTTTTCACGAGAGAGAACATAAATATATACGTGTACGCTTAGAAAAAATTTTTTTAAAAATTATTCTCAACAAATGAAATAAAAATGATTATGGATCGATAATATTTGAAAGACAAATTCGATTGTTTCAAAAACAAACAAACAAAAATATATACATATATATATTAGTATTATTATTATTATGGAAAAAAGAAATTTTAACAGATGAATTCAATAATAAAAATCGCGATGATAAGATCACCTACCAAATGTAAATTTCTCGGCTTTGAAAAAATTTTCGATACGTCGTCTTTGTCGACGTAAAATAATTCATCGTAGCGAACGCATCGTGAACAAACGCAAATAAGTATCGTGCTCGAACAGCAGCTGTAGAAAAGTGAAATGCGCAAAGAAAAGGACAACGCGTGCTCCCTCGCGTTCTTTCGAATTATGTATAACATACGTATATACGTTACATACATACATACATACATACATACATACATACGTTACATACATACATACATACATACATACATACATACATACATACGTTACATACATACATATATACATACATACATACATACATACATACATACATACATACATACATACATACGTACATTTAGTACATACGTACATAAATTTTGTATATATATTTCGTGTATACACATTTCTTATATACACATATCGTAAATAAATGTTTACATTCGCGCACGTGCGATATCACGAAGACAAGGAGATAGGTCGAGTTTCTCGAAGTCTAAATGACACACTTCTTTTTCCAATACGATCGAGCTCCCTTCGATCGATCGACGA